ACCTGCCGGCGGGGCCACGGGCAGGTGGCGCGGCTGCAGGGCTGAGTGGCAGCCTGGCTGCTTCCTCTCCTCTGGACGGGAGGACCTCTGCTGAAGGCGGGGGTCATCTGGGGCAAGAGAAGTGGGCGATCGTGCTGAGGCTGCCCCCAGTTTGCCACCCGCAGGTAGGTGTGCGCCTGAGCCCTCCGGGTAGAAAGGTTCTCCTTCCTGAGGCTGAGGTCTCGCCTCAGGTGAGCGCACTCCCCTCCGGGCGCGTCCACGTTGGGTCGCTCTCGTTTGCCTCCCTGCCCTGGCGCTGCTAGTTGGCAAACATCTTATGCTTTTGGATAGTCTTGCTTACAATTTGGTGATATTGGGCGTTGTTAGTTCCTTTGAGGAAGAAGGAGGCAAATGAAGCCCATTTTGAGGGAGGCTCAGAGTCCTCTCCCTGAGCTGCAGCTGGGAAATAGAAGGGAGGAGGCTGAGTGTTGGCTCATTAATCCGCGTCCTCAACTGACTTCCCAAAGTCCATAGGTTGCTTTTAGTCCCGTGACAATTGTGGAAGACCTCTTTGTGGACGGAAAGACTCCCTCTCATCAACCCACCCCCCAAAAAGGGCAAACCTAAATTTAAAATCGAAAACCAAAGTGTAGATTTCTTTGAATACATTTACCTTGTTTCAAAACTTAGCAAACCAACAAAGAACTCTGCTATAAAAAGTTACTTGTATGAAAATCTAAAATTGTAAGTATGCAGCCAATTTAAAATAGGCTATTTGTTCAGCATATATTAAGAAATAACAGGCTAGGGGTTTAGCATAGTGTTGCAGACTATGTGTTCATTCTCTGGGCTCAATCCCCAGCACCCAATAACAATAGCAATAATAGTAACAATAATCAGACTGGCCTTGTAAACCCAAGTGTATGGCTGAAGTAAAGTCTAATTGCAGTATAATTAGTTAACAATTCCAGTGTCTACCTACACACTGTGGACATCGCCTGAGAACCCCAAATGCTGTGATTTATGGGTGCCAAAGTGGCTTTGTTTACTTGAGCTTTCTCAGCAGCTCCACTCTTGAAGAGAATACATTGCAGCTGACCGCCCCCCCACCAGGTAGTTGGGCCTGTGTGATTTAAGTTTTGGGCCATAACGTGTTGGATGCCGCTGTGAGCTAGAAGGGTGCACATTTGCCTCTCAGTGCACAGTTGAGTCACGGAGTTTTCTTATGTCGAGTTTCTAAAAACATTTTTCCCCCTATCTTTGTGTTGAGATTAATTTACTGTTCTTTGAAACTTGTTCTGGTTTTCTTCCATCGTAAAGGTGTTCCAACAGGCACAGCCTAATGTGAACGTTGTCCTTCACGTTTTGAGTGATTTTATTTGACTGTTTGAGATTTGTTCTTTTAAGCCTCTTTTCTATAAGTGCCATCATTCCCTGTTGTTGCTTTAATTGTCAGAACCCTCAGAAAGAAAACAACATTAATTAAAATGAAAAAGACCCTCAACAAAAGAAAACTATATCAGGTCTTCCAGGTTTTTTTAGAATAATCTATGTGAGTATTTTCCCTCAGTGGCCTGAAATTTGTAATTTTTGTTTAGTTTTCTGAAACTGAAAGGGGTAAAACATTTTAAAATTTAGAAGAGTCTTCTTTTAGCTGGTTTTTCTGGTAAAGAAGTTTTTTTGTTTTTGTTTTTGTTTTTTTAAGTCTAATTTAAATGGCATCTGAGTATAGACTTCTTTAAGTTTCTTTTACCCATGCAAAAATAGCCCACTAAACCCAGTCTTTGATTTTCACTGAGTGTCACTCAAGTTGAATTTCCAAATTTTATTTTTATTTTTCCTTCCCACTTTCCTTTTGCCATCCAGATATTATTATCAAAAACTATTTTGGGCCGGGGATTTAGCTCAGTGGTTCTGGCGACTGTCTCGCAAGCACAAGGACCTGAGTTCGATCCCTGGTACCAAACAAAAACAAAAACAAAAACAAACTATTTTGATTCTGTCATGTTGGTCCACAGCTGGTGCAATGGTTTGCATTGCCTTCCATATAGCATGTCGCTTACTGCTGTCCTAACTCTGTGTGTACTAGCAAACAGCTTGGACCTGAGACCACCCAAAAGTAATTTGGACGTCCATTTACAGGGTAAAATTCATTTACCCAGTCGTAAAGTACCTTTTAATTTGTGTCATGTCTGTTTTCATGTTGCTGCTTTTTATTACTATTGCCTACTTCCTTTTTATTTCTCATCTGTATTTTCTACTTCCTACATGCCTTTATTCTGATTTATTTACTGTGTTGTTTAAAATAATACCTTTAGACATTGTGACCTATTTTCTTTTTCTGGGTTATGAAGATGAGTCTTGAATAAAATTAGGCCTAGCTCCAATCACTACATTGCTCCCCTAAGTTCTTATCACTTGTTCATTTAGAAGTTGAACAAAGGTTAGTAGTAAACTCCGCTTAATGACCTCCTTTCGCTTAGGATTCTACTCCGTTGTGACACAACTTAAATTTACTCCTACAATAGTATTGTGAGGAGTATAAAGGAAATGAATAAAAATGAGTTGTCAGGGCCTCAACCATGACCTTTCTTTTTTGCCTTTTTGAACTGTAGTCTGTCTTTGATGTGGATCACATGATTCCCCTTGTCCCTTTCCAGGCTGTGTATATTTGAACTTCATCTCCTTCCATTTCAAAGTGCTTTGTAATTCTTTCTTGTCTGTCTCATTCCAGGCATTGCCATAGCTCCTTTCTGCAGTGCCCACCATTCAACTCACAGCATCTTTCACAGAAGCTACCAGCCAGCCCCTTCCCTGCCCCCATCTTACTTCCAGCTCCCTACTTGTGACTGTGATTTTCCTGACAGTTTTCCTCTGCTCATCTCTAATAGAGACCAAATTCTTTACTGTTGAGCAGCCTATTTCTTTGGAGTCTTCCTGGGGTGTGCAGAATTGGGAGCATATTTGAACCTTCCTATTTTCTTTTATCAAATTCTTTTTCAGCAATTTGAAACTTTTAAAAAGTCTATTGCAAATTATAGGCAAGAGTTCTTTAGGCTTTACCTGGGAGCATGAACTTTGAAGACTAATGTGCTTACATTTACACTCTATTATCACTTTGAGTGAGTTTCTAGATTAGTTAGGATTAGCTGCCTGTTACAAAAACCTCAAAGAACTGTAGGTTAAAGTAATATTTCTCTTTCACATTAAAACAGAAGTTACAGACAGACAATCTAGTGATCTATGATGGTTCTACAATCTTAGAACAAAGCTGGTTCCATGTACTGAATCTGCTGAACATAAGGTGAGGCCCCTAACTTTATGATCCAAGATGAAGCTTTACCCATCATATCCAAGTGCCAAGTAGTGGAAGGAGGAAAGAAGGAAGAGAAGAGGAGGGAAGAGGCAAGAGCCTACAGTCTCATACAAAAAATTTTTGAAAGCTGTTGTGCTCTTCTTGTTATATGTCATTGCTCATAACTTATTGCCTGACCTCACCTCCTGGAAGAGTCTGAGAGACACTGACTTTTATTCAGATAGTCTTATTCCTAGCTAGAAAGTGTATATGGAAAGGTCTTTAATAGGGAAAAAAGAAAATGTGGACATTGGGGTAATCAAACATCAGTTATTTAACCACCCTTTTTTTTCTAGTATTACTCTACAAGATTCTTAAAACTAAAAGAAATATACATTAAAGCATTTAATGCAGTTTGTAGCATAAAACAAGCTCTCAGTAAAGGCTAGTTCATATTCCTCCTTATTTCTTTTCTATGAGTTACCCAGTCTCCCTGTTGCCATATCATGGGCATTCAAATCCTTTTTTAATATTTAGCCATTTGCCCCAATTGATGGGATGCACCTTGGCATGGTAGGGAGATGAGGTGTTTGAATGGCAGGGAGCAACATATTACTGAATGTCAGCATTTATTTCTTAGTTTTAAAACACTGCATAGATTAAAAACATGGCTCTTGAAATCAAATAGACCTGGATAGGACTTCTGGCTCTGCCACTTGGTTTGCAACCATAGCTTCTCTTACTTTCAGTTTCCTTAGTATAAATGGGTGGTTATGAGATGCTGGACTTACAAGGAGAAAGAACGTACATGAAATGCTGAATATTATGCCTAACAAAGGAAGTGATTGCTCCTTTTAAATTTGGCCTAACCTGGATTCTTGCATTCTTCCACCTCTGATTCTACAAGTGGCCTTTATAAGCCACTTAGTAAATTCTTTATATATCACATTTTTATTATATCTGTTCCTACAGTGAACACTGATAACCATTCTCATACTACAAAAGTGGAATCATCAGTGTGACTGTATTTGACAATGGTAATAGAAGCATTTCAAACTGCTTTGTGGGAGGATTTTGGAAAAGTTTGGAGACGCCAGCTGGGGAAGCCCTACAGTGGTCTAACTAGAGCTTAATGTGAGATTTTGGTCAGAGTTGAGAAGCAGTGGGGGAGGGGGGCTATATCTTAAAAGACTAGGCTCAGGAGATTTCAGGTGAAAAGACTTCTTCGGTAGTTGGACATCAAGCAGTGTGTGTCACGCTCTGGCAGAAAATTAGTCTACATTTTGCTCGTGTCCTAAGACTTCTCAAGCAACTGAGGTTAAGGATGGGGAACTAACTTATCTGGTGAAAGAAATTTTAAGGCAGTTCAATATTCAGGTTATGGCATGGGTACTGTTGGGGGTTTTAGCCAGTTAATATATTAAGAATCAAGCCAGGTGTGGTGGCACACACCTGTAATCCCAGCATTCGGGAGGCTGAGGCAGGAGGATCACGGTGAGTTCGAGACCAGCTTGGTTCCAGGTCAGTCTCAACTACATGGTGAGACCCTGTCTCAAAATACAAAAACAAAAAACAAAACAAAACAAAACAAAAAAGAATAAAGAGCAAAGAACACAGGTGAATTACATAAAAAGTTTTGAGTTTAGCCACAAAGGAAACTCAGGTAAACTTGGGGCTGGCAAAGATGGAGCAGAGGTTAGTTACCAAATGATTAACATTAAAAAGAAGCAAGTACTTAATAACAGGACAGAAGGAAACATTGCTAGCAACAACGTGAGAAATCTGCAAGACCCCACCCTTTGCAGTCTCACCTTTTCAGAAGTGAAAGATTGCTTTGAAAAGTCAGCCCCAGGGCACTCCAGAACCAAGGCACCTCGGGAATTGTTCCCT